ACGGGGCAGTGAGGTGTACCTGGGGACCTCTCTCATCGGCATTGTGGTGCGGCCAGCCTCTGGACATACGCAGTTCTTCTATAGGCAAGTGGAGAGAGTTATCATCTTCTTTGTCCTTTTCCTCTTCTTGTTCTTTACATTTTTTAAAAATTCTCTTCTTGTTTTTCTTTACTTCTTTTGTTTTTTTTTCCTTTACTTTGTCCTTCTTTTCCTTTTCCTCTCTCTTTTTTTCTTCTTCTTCTTTTCTTGTCCTACTTCTTACTTGTTTCCCTTCTTTTTCTTGTTTTCTTTCCCTTTAATTCTTTACTTCCTTTCTTATAATTTTATTCTTCTCTTTCTTCTGTTTTCTTTGTTTTCTTTATTCTTTGCTTCCTTTTTCTTCTTTTTTTCCTTCTTTCTAGTTTTCCATGGCTTCTTTTCTTCTTTTTTTCTACTTCTCTTTTTTCTTCTTTACTTCTTGCAGAATAATATCATCTATTTCCTAGATAGATGTGATATGTAAGTAGACTCAAGATATAACACAGCAGCAGTTCCTGAAAGACTGTAGTATTGGTGTAGTGCTTACACGACTCTGAGCCAGTTCTGTTTATTGATTGAAATGCATGATATTGAATGAATATAACTTGTGTTTATAAGTTTGTATCTATGTGCTGGTGAGTGTGAGAATGAGAGTAAGAGTGTGTTTTTTGTTTTGTTTTTGTTTGGTTGTTTGTTTGCATATCTGTATGTGTGTTTTCATTTGACAGTAAGACTCACATCAGTTGATTTGATGCATTTTACAGATGGAATGACATCACTAATTTGGTGAACAACAAACGAACATTTGGCATTGAGTGCCAGCGCACGGATGAGACGGTTCACTTCACGTTTGATGAGCCAGATGCTGCCAAATATGTGTGGAAGATGTGTGTCAAGCAGGTATGAGACTAAGAGTAATTGTAGTAAGTACTTGTCATGTGAATTACCTTTGTTGAAAGGACTGAAGTCACTACATCAGTGAGCAAATGCTTTTGGAAGTGGACTTATAGATTGCTAATTATCTTTAGTTATGGTTTCCATTGTTCTAAAAGTTCTATAAAAGTACAATTAGCCTTATTACTTACACTAAACCTTTTGTAGGTTTAATGTGTTTCACCAAAGTTCAACTTGTTTAAGTTGTTAGGAAGATAAAGATGATTATTTTGATTTTATTGTAGATAATAGGATTATTATCGTCAACAGTTGTCATTATGGTTATTATTTTTAGATTGAAGTTGTTTTTCTTATTCATTATACTAGTTTTTATTGTTTTTTACTTTTATTTTAGGTTATAGATTTAATAATTTACTAAAATCAGATTACTTGATTTATGTATTCTTTATTACTGGTATTACGAATAACTGATTAATTCATTTTCAACACAGCACACATTTTACAAGCGAAAACAGGAGATGCTGGAGGGCAGCTCTGCCGCAGAAACACGCAGCCTAGCTATTCCTGACCTGCAGAGCTCCGTGATGACAGCGCAACTACACCACTCGCAGCACCTTAATGCCTCGCATGAAATGGTAGAGCATTTATTTTTCATTTCCATTTTTATTTTGCTTATTTATTTTTTCTCACTATTTCATTTTAGAAAGTTCCCTTTCTTTCTCTTTTATGATCTCATGAATTGTTTGTTTTCTTGAAGCATGTTGTGTGCTTCATTTTATTCTTTGAGTGATCTTTCATGTTGTAAGAAAAGCGTATATTAATCAGAAAATTTATAAACAAATATTTCTTTAGATCTCCTTAAATCTCATCAGATCTCTTTAAATCTTTCTGCATCTTATTGATAATTTCTGCACCAGGTGGATGGTCGAGGTGGTATGGGGGAGCTGACAATGCAGAGCTCAGGGGACCAGGGAGCCATGACCACCTATTCAAATACGTTGCCGCAGTTCGAGCTCTCCTACATACAGCAAGTGAGTTTTTTATTTTATTTTTTTTAATTGTTATTGTTATAGTAGATATTAGTTTTTTTTTTAATGTTTATTATTATTATGATAATTGTTTTAGCTACTGATTTGAATGTTATTATTATTGTTATTATTATTGTTATTATTATTATTATTATTGTTATTGTTATTATATTATTATTTTTTATTATTATTGTTATTGTTATTGTTGTTGTTGTTATTGATTTTAATGATATTGATATCATTGATATAATTATTGATATTTTTATCAATATTGATAATAACAATGATAATGATAATCATAATAGTGATAATGATAATGATACTTGTTGTTTTTATTTTGGATTTTTATTTTTATTATTATTTTTTATTATTTATTATTTATCATTTATTATTATTTATTATTTATCATTTATTATTATTCATTTTTTATCATTTATTGTTATTTATTATTCATCATTTATTATTATTATTATTATTATTACTTATGATTATTGTTATTATTTTTATGAGTAACAATATTGTCATCACTATTGTTATTACTATTACTATTATTATTATTATTGCTAATGATTGCTCTGAAAAGTATCTGATTATCTACATGCCTACTTTATTTATCTGCATTTGTTTATATTCGTATAAAGAAAATTGGATGTCGATTTATATTTATGGAAAAGAGTTTATCTTTCTTTATTATTTACTTACAAATTTACATGGATAGAGAACTAGACAAGTAGATCGTATATCTCTCTTTATGTTTATACTGTATGGAAATACATATCCATACTGTTATTATTATTTATTTATTTTTTCACATTTAATGGCTTTCTGATATTTTTTGTGCCAGTCTGGTGATGCTGGGGGTCACCTTAGTGGTGCCCTTGAGTCGTCTAGCTCCCAGATGATAAGCGACCCCTCATATGGGATGCTGTCACAGTCGGCGTACTCCCTCAACTCCCTCCATCACCCACAAAACCCGGTGAGTTTAATTCTCTGGTGCCATCCTGTGGTCCGCGGTTTTGGTATGATCGAGTTCCTTGTCGTTAGAAGTGAGCTTGGTGACGTCATGAATTGGAGGTCAATGTTGGTATTGTTATTATTATTATCATTGTTATTATTATTATTATTGTTTTTTTATCATTATTGTTATTTGATTTACGTAGATAATCTTATTGTTATCTTTATTATTATTATTGCTCTTATTATCTTGAATGTTACTAGTATTATTTACTATTGATTATTATTATTGTTGTATAGGTATATATATTTTGTTTGTTGGATTATGTCTTTGCTTTTGTATTTTTGACTCATAATCCATAATTGATAATCAGCCATTTTTGTTTCTTTTTTTTTCTTTACTTTGTTGCATTACCTCTGGTATCAGCGACTAATAACCAAAACCTGTTTCTTCCAAAGGTTGTATTGGCTTCCCATGGCCAGGTTTCACAGACGTCAGCCATGCAGCAGCAGCAGCAGTCGCAACAGCAGCCACCCCCACAACAGCCACAGCCACAGCCTCCTCAGCAGCAGCAAACACAGCCAAGCCAACAGCAGCACCATGATGCAACTGGTCAGCAAGTGGCGTTGTATTCATCCAATCTCAGTCTTCCTTCCACGAGAGGCAGTTTCAGAAGGTACAAAATGCACATGCAGTTGATTTTAAGAGTTGCATATTATGACATTCATAACTATTGATGGATGGAAATACTTTTTAATTTTTTTTTTTTTTTTTATTATTTTTTTTTATAACGGTAATGGCAAGCCTATGGTGATAAGATTGCTATATGAAATAAAATGCGAGATACAGATACACTACTGGAAATAAGTCATACTCCCCCAGCTACTCAAAGTCTCATTTCTCTTCCCCTCTCTCTCTCCAGAACGCTCCTCCCGCAGTATCGACCTGCTCCCGACTACGAACAAGCTCTAGTACAAAAATATGGGCCTGGAGTCAATCCGGCCAACATCCGTGCCACAATGCTCTACTCCTCCCAGCCCGAGATCTCAAACAGACACGTGTTGGAAGGCCCCACTCAGGAATGTGAGGACTAAGCGGGTTTTTGTTGGTTGTACTGTGGTGTGAAAGTTTACTTGCAGTCTGACATTGATAGTGCAGAAGAAGAAGAAAGAGGAGAAATGGAATAGGATGATGAAAAGGGGTTAAAGAGATAATTAAGAAGGAGAAAAGGGGAGATGGAAGAGGATGATAAAAAGGGGTTAAAGAGATGGTTAAGAAGGAGAAAAGGGGAGATGGAAGATGGAAAAGAAGTTAAAGAGATAGTTAAGAAGGAGAAAATGGGAGATGGAAGAGGATGGTGAAAAGATGTTAAAGTGATAGTTAGAAAGGAGAAAATGGGAGATAGAACAAGATGATGAAAAGTGGTTAAAGAGATAGTTAAGAAGGAGAAAATGGGAGATGGAAGAGGATAATGAAAAGGGGTTAAAGAGATAGTTAAGAAGGAGAAAAGGGGAGATGGAAGAGGATGATGAAAAGGGGTTAAAAAGATAGTTAAGAAGGAGAAAAGGGGGAAGTGGAAGATGATGATGATGAAAAGGGGTAAAAGAGATGTTGATATAGTAGGTGATTGTTTTACAGTTAAACTTTTTACAGCTAAGATAATTAATTGTGCAGACTATAATTTTGATGAATCCTTGTATATTGACAAGGAATGTAAAAAACTAAAACTACAGAAGTAAGAATTTTTCTTGTGGGACAAAATTTTTGATGTGCTTGATCTTATCTTATCACTGATATTAAGTTTGTTTTTGGTAAACAACCATAATATCAAGGTCAAGTGGATAATTGCTAATGTGCGATGAGGAAACCTTACATTACTGACCATATGTTAGTTATCATTTAAAACTCTATGGGAAATCTTTTATTAGTTTCAATATATGTATAGAAAGTGAATCTGTACATTTGCTGTATGCTAATGAATATAAGTGGCCCTTAGGTTTGAATAAAGGTTTTTGTTTGCTTTTACAGTATCAATTTTACTTTTACTTTTTTTTTTTTTTTTTTTTTTTGTAGGAGGGGAAGTGCACCTAAGTATATGCTTCAGTGCATGCATGTGTGTGTGTGTGTGTGTGTGTGTGTGTGTGTGTGTGTGTGTGTGTGTGTGTGTGTGTTTGTGTGTGTGTGATTGTGTGTGTGTGAGTGCGTGTGTGTGTGTGAGTGCTTGTGTGTGTGCGTGTTCATGTGCGTGTGTGTAGTGGGGGGTGCATGCATGTGTGTTGTGTGTGTAGGGGGGGCATGCATGTGTGTGTGTGTGTAGGGGGGCATGCAGGGTGTGGGTATGCTCAGGTGTGCATAGGGGAGTACATAAATGTGTGCTGTACAACAGATATTAAAATGATAATAGCCTTACTAATAATAAGCACAAAAGACCTAAACTAATGTATTTTTTCTTTTCACTTTTCTTATTTGCAGCCAGCGGTGTGGGGAACTACAGCCACTACAAAGGCTACACTGACCTGTCTATGTACCCAGACCCACCCATGCCGCACCTGAGTAGGTCGGCAGGAATACTCATGCCTGGTCCACTGCACAACACCTACAGGTATGCAAGGATTATTATTATTTTTTTAGATCATTTTCATTTTTTAGGAGTGGCGGGTCTAGTATTCATTTGTTTTTTCTTTACCCAATTTTCCTCTCCCTCTTTCTTCTTTCTTTACTCACCCTCCCATCTCTGCTCTCTCTCCCTCTCCTTCTCCCCCTCTCTCCCACTCCCTCTCCTTCTCCCCCTCTCACCGCTCTCTCTCACTCACCTCCCCACTCTCCTTCTCGCCACTCTCTCCCAACTCCGGCTTCTCCGTTCCTCGACCGCCTCTCTCCCACTCCCTCTCCCTTCCTCCCCATCTCATCCCAGCTCCATCTCCTTCCTCCGCCCTCTCTTACCACTCCATCTCCTTCTCCCCCATCGTCTCAACCACTCTCTGACCTTCTCCCCTCTGCGTCCCACTTCCCATCTCGCTTCTCCCCTCATCTCGCCACTCCCTCTCCTTCTGCACCCCTCAATCTCCCCCACTGCCCTCTCGCTTCTCCCCCCTCTCCGCACTCGCCTCTCCTTCCTCACCCTCTCGTCCCACTCCGGCTCATCGCTTCTCCCGCGCTACTCTCGCGACTAGCCGCTCTACTTCCTCAACCCCTCTCTCCCACTGGCCCTCTCCTTCATGCCGCCCCTCTCTCGCCACTCCCCTCATCCATTCTCCCTCTCTCCCACTCCCTCTGCCTTCTCCCCTCTCTCGCACTCCCTCATCCTTCTGCCCCCTCTCTCCCACTGCCCTC